CGTCTGGTAGCTCTTCGCACTGGGTTATGTTCGGGACCGGCTGGGATATTTCTTCGAGATTTAAGTAGTGCCACCGTTCGGTCTGATATCCAGTGCTTGAGTGCGCCTGGTTGGGTCGTGCCACAGGCGAAATTCCCAGCACTATGCAAAGAGGCGGCAGTCTCGTCCCAGTATGAGTTCACATCTGATGGTGGAGCGTTTGGAAGAGACTCTAGAAGACGATTCTTGTAAGTTCGTCTGACATCCGGGTCTGCCAGCCTTTCAATTGCCATGCGATTTGTCCGCACCTTACGCGGCCCCGGGTTTCTCTGACCGTTTTGGTTTTCTCTCAATTGTTCTGATTTTTCTTGCTCAACCCATTCAACAGACGTAAACGTCGGTGTTGGAGGCTTCACCGTTCAAGGCGTAGTCGGTTCCCGGCCGATGACGGTACCATTGCCACCGAATGGTCTGTGTGTCTACTTGTTTCCAGGATGTCCTATTGAAGTAGGGGGAAGCTACGTTTATCATTACACAGGCGCGGTGCCTCTCGAATTCCCACCGGTAAGTTGCATGGGGACGGTTGTGCTCGTACCTGTCATGTACTTACGGGTCAAACTTCAAAGATTCTATTAGGATTGATGTCGACCAACAAGTCATCTTATTGCCCTGACGGGAACCTCACGATTATTATCCACTCCATGAACCGCCCCTATACTTTATCGTATCCCCTTTTCTGTATTGTCCGGCGCAGTAAATGAACTGTGGTATGTCTTTTTCTAACCAAGCTGGGAATAGCATTAAATCCTGCCCTCGAACCATACTCATGACTCAGCGAGGATTTTCAACGGAACTGCGCTACTCAGTCATATTGTTTCGATCAGAATACGCAATTTTTCAAAATTATGCAGGCGGTCTACCGCTGTGCGGATCGTTAATTATTATAGTCCGGGATTACAAGTTTTTGGGAACTGAATTACCCACGAGGAGACAAGGGCACGCAACCACCAACAAGGTCAGTTCGACCGTCAGTAGCATGCGATTTGTAACTTGAAATTAACGTCATTTCTCGTGCTCGGTGTTGCTCAGATAATTGATCTTCCATCGAGCAATAAAGTGAATATCTTTTGACTTGCACCCAATAATTACCCAATTAAATATAATAATAATAAATAATAATACTTACATAATTAATCAACTATATCCAATAATTGCCTGTTTTGCATGACGAATTGCGCTGAAGTAAATTACATCCAGTTGTATTGTTCAACTATGTCATTATCGGAGTCGTTAACTCTTTTCTACAGGGTCCGACGACTTTACGCTGGGAGATTTTATATGGAAACAGTGCACAGTTTGTGTGCATCGAAATCCCGGTGCAAGTCATATAGACTACTTTAAATGTCGTGTAGTAGAACAGATCGCACGTTCATGTTATAAAAAAACGTCTATACACGCGATTTTTTCATCCTTTTGGCTTACTTTATGTGGATATATAAAGCGCGAAATTCGAAAAGAACGATGCCAAACAAGTGCACTATTGATTGAATCTATCATAATTGGAGGCAGGCGACAACAAGCAGGCGATTCAGGGCGTTGTCATCCGAAACGAAGAAGTCAAGTAACGGTTCTCCAAGAAAATAGTTATTAGCATACGCTGACTGAGATGCATGATTGAAAGCTAACTTTCGAGGTCCTTAAAATGCGTGCTTAGCTTTGTTGGGCTGCTTTTTAGTTTTTGGCCATCAGTCCCTCTAGCCTCAGTGACCGATTGAGTCAACTGTGTGCGAGCATGTGCGTGCACACTCAGGTTCGTTATGCTGCTTTGAGAATTGTTGCGAGATACGAGTGTAACTATGGGTAATACTAATAGGGCATGCGAGTAATTTGTTCCTCGTAAATCTGCTTCGCGTCTCTTGAAAAGTGAGATCTATAACGGAATTTATGGAGTCGCTATGTAGCATTTACTTGCATTTGAGTAGCAGTCGATGAATATCCAGGAAGGTTCAGAAAGGCGTGTTCAAGGAGAAGATGGATATTCAGTTTTGTAAGCAAGATGCATATGAGGGCTTTGCTACCCTGTCCAGTAGTAACTGTTCAGTTGGCATTTTCTAATAAATAGCTCCGCAGCGAAGGCCTTCTTTCTTTCACCCGTATTACCGATCTTATGCGAATACTCACTATAGTAGCTGACAAGAGCGCGAGATAGCTGTAAGGCGCGAAATTAC